CTACTCCCGCTCTGCTCAGCTCTTATTGATCGTAGCGTGATATTAGGTATACCTATTGCCTTGATATTATATTGTTATGCCATGGCATTATAATACCTGTAACACTTCTCTGCATCACCCTATGGTTGGCTGGTAGAGAATGCCATTCGGCATTAAGTCCGCCATTGTATACAGTTGTACATAAAGTGTTAAATAAATAAAATAATAATATAATGTAGACAATCTAGTTTCCATATGGCATCATGCATTTCTTTCTTTATTGAAACAAAGAGTTTCCTTTTTCTTGTACACATAGAAACACTATTTTTTACTATGCATATGTGATGTGAGCGCCATGTTTTACTTAGTCATGTCTTTGCATTGTTCTCACATATACGTATAGTATTGGAATATGTATCAGAGACATTGTAGAACATACCTACTTTTTTTAATAAGAGGATTTTGGAATGAGCACCTTGCTTCACCTAGCTTCACCGACGGACTGACGGGCAGACTTTTATTTATTTTGTATTTGTTGACGTTTCAAAAGTACCAAATTATGTTTTAATTGAAATTAGTAAATGCTTTGACTTTGACTTCGTTTACAGAACAAATCGACTGACTACAAAAATATTTTTTCAAATCTGCCTAGTTGTTCCTGACATTAACAGCTTTATATGTTAGTACCTATAAGATAGCATAAGATATAAGATTTAGTGTTTAGCTAAAAAATAATTTAAGAGAAATAAATTAGTATGAGAACTGAGAACTAAGCAATACGTTGATATGTTTTAAGTTTATGGTGGTAATTAACAGCTATTTTCTTATTTGCAATCGATATAAAAAAGTTAGGTACCTAGGTATTTCGTTATTCTGATTTGAATCAAGCCAAGACTAGAGTAGATGAGTAATTTTTATTTTAATGTCTGTCTGGCAGATTATTTTAAATCATTAGACACGTATTTTTTATTTTCTTACAGAAACGAATAGTTTCGAAGATATATTGATTTGTAATAACAATATCGCATGACGTCACTTTAGAGTACGATTTATACTCTAAAAGGACGTAGTTCACTCATTCGTATAAATATTGTTTTCTTATACGACAAAATAAAAAAAAATACGTGTCTAATATTTTTTCATTATCTAACTGACGGACTAATTAGATATTTAATATTAATAAAGGTACATACATAGGAACCTACTTACCGAATTAGTTTCCAATAATGTTCAACCAAACATAATTTTTATACTGGATTTTTACAAACTGGATACCACTATGTATTTGCTTACTAACATATTTTAATCAGGTTGGCGTGAAATTCGATAAACTTTTACACAACTTCATTCGATAAAATGTAGGCAAGATGAATGTAGGTAAAATAGAAAATCCATTATTGGTAATTTATTATGCAAGCACCTACATTTAGATTATTACCTTTTTGTTTTTGATGACTGGGTAAACCTTCAAAAGGTGCCTAACTTTTTGGGGTGAAAGGGAGCGGGGATTTTAATTTAACTTCTCTAAATCCACCTCTAAGTACGTATCTAGGTAGGTACCCATGCAGGTAGTTAGCGTGCCAAGATCCACGGCAATTTGTAAAGGTACTGACAGACGTGCTCATTACTAGCATGAAAGCATGCTTTTATTGAGCAAGTGCTCATTAGTAGCACGTGTATAATGTAATAAGCATGCCTATTTAGAGCACGGAATATAGAATACAACTATATTCCGTGATTTAGAGCGTGCTCAAAAATCGAACTACGTTCGTTTTTCGATATCATTTGAACATGCTATTATCGATTCAGTCTATCGAATTTATGCGGGAGTATTTGCAAATGATTTTTATAACTGTCGAGATCTTCGCTTCGCATCTCTGACAACAATCGATTACTGCTCCCAGTGATTCTCTTCTGATTATCCAATTACTAAACGTAATTGGATTCAAATTGTCCTTTTTTTGTTTTTTTATTCGATAGACAGAATCGATAATAGTATGCTAATATGCAAACCAGTGAGTGGCAAGCACGAATAACTATCGCATTCGTAAAGTAATAGTATCGAGCGCGATCGGCGCTCTGATTGGCCGGCTCAAGTGGACCAACCAATCAGCTTGAACGCTTAACTCGCTCGATACTGTTACGATACGAATGCGATAGTTATTCGTGCTTGGTTGGCCCTCGGTTCAGGCATCCCCTCTACCCTTGCCTCATGGAGCATGCTCGAAAATCGAACGTCGTTTGATTTTTACCGACTTCAAAAAAAGGAGGAGGTACTATGTTCGGCTGATTGTTTTTTTTTTTTTTTTTTTTTTTTTTTTTTGTTTGTTCGCGCAGTACTCCGCCGTTTGTGGACCGATTTCGAAAATTTTTGTTTTGTTTGAAAGGGTATACTCCCGAGATGGTCCCATTTCCATGAAGTCAGGATCTGATGATGGGATCCTAGGGAAACCGAGGGGAACTTTCGAAAATTCTATGGGGGAGTAATGCGTCTATTATGTTTTTCAATTACGAATTTTAAACACTACAATTTGATAAGGGTCTGAAGTCGACCTGATGATGGAGTCGACAGACAGTCGAGGGAACTCCTCAGCGGTTTATACTAACTACCTTGTGTTTGGGCTTGATTAATTTGTATTGATGAGGACTTTACACCTAGATAGAGTGGGGCTGTCATTAAGGGTCTGATGATGAAGAAGTGTAATTGTTAAGGGAACTCCTCAACGGTATACAGTAACTACCTTGAGTTTGGGCTTGATTAATTTGTATTGATGAGGACTTTACACCTAGATAGAGTGGGGCTGTCATTAAGGGTCTGATGATGAAGAAGTGTAATTGTTAAGGGAACTCCTCAACGGTATACAGTAACTACCTTGAGTTTGGGCTTGATTAATTTGTATTGATGAGGACTTTGCACCTATGTATATTATAAGTAACAAAACGGGTATATGTAGCTTTACACTGAAAATGGTAAAATAATAAAATAAAAACTGCGTTTAAAAAACCGACTTCAAAAACCAAAAACTAATAACAAACAAAAAGTCAATACTAAAAAGCAAAAAATAACTATCATTAGTACTGATAGGTTACCCACCCACTGATAGGTTAGAAGTCGGTGCCATAAGCTCATATCATAATGATATAACTTAATGTCCACAAAATTGTGAATTAGATACCTATTAAGGTTTTAATGAATAATTTTGTATGGAACTTATGGCACCGACTTCTTACCTATCAGTGGGTGGGTAACCTATCAGTACTAATGATAGTTATTTTTTGCTTTTTAGTATTGACTTTTTGTTTGTTATTAGTTTTTGGTTTTTGAAGTCGGTTTTTGAGAACGTTCTAAATAAGCATGCTCATAACATTATACACGTGCTACTAATGAACACTTGCTCAATAAACGCACGCTTTCGTGCTAGTACCGAGCACGTCTGTCAGTACCAGAGCCTATTTGATGATTAATAATATCCCTAGTTATAAGGTATGTATTTAATTATATAAGTACTGCAAACTATTGAAAAACTAAAAAAATATGTATTTATTATTATCTTCAATTAAGGTGTGGTAGTTGCATCTTCTTCCATATCTTGACCTTCACAAGGTTCATTATCGCCAATTTCCGAGAGATCATCATAATCATGATCATCTTCGGCTTTGTCTAACATATCGTACCAAATCTCAGCGTGGAACAAAGCTGCTGTTTCTACCTCTATTTCTGCAGCTTCCACTATAACAAAGATAACTCATTTATCGTTATGCACTACCACTTTAACCCACTTTTCATAGTTATGAGTACTTAGTCAATATCAGTCCAATATCACACCCATGTAGGCGTATGATATTGGACTTACTTATTTGACTGTTTTATTATATCAGGCACAATTTCAAAGTTTATACTATCACTGTCACTAAGAAATTTAATCGAGCCGATTAAATGCCGAAAACCGATGCCTTTGCGCAGTAATCGCATTTGTGAAGTAGTGCGGTGTAGTACAAGTAAAACACTAAGCAGCCAGCCGCCATAATCCACACAATCACAAGTAATTTGTACCAAGTACAAATGGAATCCATAACTTATAATTATTATGTAGTACCTAGGACCTTATATTTTGCAAGTTATCTATCAACAGGTCTTTAGGATAAAAACTATTAAAACTTACAGCGTAAATTCATAATGACTTCAACATTTTTTTTCATTCGAGCAGTATCAAATTCTATTTCCGCATGAACTTTTTCATAAAACTCGGGGCTGTTGATATCTATACCTTGAATGTTATTCAACTGTTCATCCATATTTAATAGGACTCTTCTGTAAATCAATTAATATTGGGAAAATCTGTTTTGTTAACAAGAATGTTTGTAATTGCGTTCGCGCTAATTTCGATAGAACCGGAAAAGGATACGAGAACATTCTGCAAAAATATCGTAGACGCTTTGCACTGTTGATGTCTATGTTTAATAATGTCTATGGTACATTTTTTTACTCAACAAACGGTACATGAATTATTAGTAATTTTAATAACAAATAATAATTAAATGATTACTTCATTACTTATATCAAACAATATCTACAATATGTTTTAATAATTTTTTAGGCAATCTTATCGACATGAACGTGACGAGATACCAGATACCAAAAAGTATATAGAATACTTTTCTTTTTTTCCCTGGCAATATTTGGAATATACAGTTAGTTTCTATTGTTATAGTATAATAGCGCTTTTTCTTTCTTTCTTTGAGAATAACCTATAATTCTGTCACATGTTTGTTAAAAGTTGTGGAATTTAGCTTTAGTCACATTGCCAAATACTCATACCAAAGAGTATAGCACTAGCACCATACCATACTATCTGTCAGTGTCACACCTGTTAGAAGAATTTGTTTTAGAGTTCCCTTTTCTGTTTAGTGTCGATAGAAACAGGACGTTCGTGTGCATCGGAGAGTTTGTTCACGTGCATTTATTTCTCCTTTGTTTATTAAACAATTCTAATACTACAGTTGCAAAGAATTCTATAAAAATGATGAGTGACGACGATCGTGATATTGATATCGAAAGTGATGTAGGTGTTTTCTAGAATTGACAGTTCTTTTGTGGTTTATGCTGTGTTTGTTTTGCCAATGGTAATATTTTTACAAAATTTCAGGCTGAGAATGATTCGGACTCGCGTACTCATGCCAGGAATAGTGTTGGCGGCAGTGGATACTACTCCCAGGTAACGTCGATTGTCAATTTTAAGGATTTCACAAAATTGACATTTCCAAACAATAATTGTATGCATGGTATTTTATTGAACAGTGATAATTCTTCATCAAGAGCAAGTATAAATTGTACAGTAACATAAGTCACTGTTTGATCACATGAAATCATTGATGCGTGGTATTTATTATTCTACCTTCAATTTTACAGGCGGAAAAACGGGCACACCACAATGCTTTGGAAAGGAAAAGAAGAGACCACATAAAAGATAGTTTCACATCTCTGAGAGAAGCCGTACCAGCTCTCCAGAATGAGAAAGTGGTATGTTCAAAAATTGTAAGCATTCACATTTTACATGTGTAATTAATATTTATTTTTAATAATTTTAAGTTTTTTTTTGCCTTAAAGTAGTGCACAAGTGTTGGTTTTGGCATCATAGTGCTTTTTTAATGCTACTAATTGTGAATTATTTGCGAGCATTCTAAATTTGAATTGTGCAATTTTCATGTAACATCTTATAAGGCCTTGACAATCGAGCTTGTTACTTTATTTCCTTTAATAGCCTCTGAATCCTTAAGATACAGGCAAAGGTTATATTTCTCATTCAGTTATGTTAGAAGTACCATTGATCATTGTAGGTTCCGTTTTGAAAACTGAGAATTTCATCTAAATATTTAGCTAAACCTGTCAGTAGGTAAGTATTAGCAATATTATAAAATTTAAGCCTCATCAAGTGGCCATAGAATTAATATTAAGATTTTAATTATGTTTAGTTCTTACATATTTATGCATTATTGCCATTGTTTTAGGCCAGTCGAGCTCAAATATTAAAGAAAGCAGCAGAGTACATACAATTTATGAGAAGAAAAAACAATTCACATCAACAAGATATAGAGGACTTAAAAAGACAAAACAATATCCTTGAAACACAAAGTAAGTTCTTTAATTTCAATAAATCAATAATAATTCAAGTAAATTGGAGGTAGTTTTAAAACATTGAGTAATATTAATTACAAACCGCGGTCTACTCACATGGATATACTGAGAAAAGCTCTACTGGATTCCAACTACAGAAGGGTTCTTCTTCATGAGCAGTGTGAGCGGTCGCCGCAACCGTGCGCTTGTGGTTGTGTGGTTCGAAACCAGCAGAGCTTTTCTCAGTATGTTCATGTGAGTAGGTAACTTGCGATTTTAGTCAATTTAGTATGTCACACGATAGTTATTATAAAAACATTGAGTAATTAATTGTTCTTCTGATTTTTTGATGTACAAAAATAATTTTTATAGAACACTAGTGAGTTTTTTGTCTCAATAAGTTTACTGCTTAACTCGTCGAGTACCGGTTTTATAGATGTCGTAGGATAATTTGATACTTCGAATCTTCGCGGAAATCCTAGGGGTTTTGCGAAAACGCGGATAATTAGACATAGGCGAAAAATTATCAAATCTTACTGGACAAAGTCAGGATTTTTGTGAAAATACTCGTTACTATAGTAAGATTTGATGTGCTCAACACTGATTGGCTACAATTCTGCTGGCTGACTTCTAATTGGTTCCTAGTTTGCCGATGATTAACTTCAAGTATTGTATCATAGAGTTATGAAGGTTTAGAATAGGTGAGAAAGGAAAATCACTAAACTGATTTTTATAAACTTTTTATTGAAAATTTTAGTATGTATGTTGTTTTCTACAGACAATAGGAGATCTCAGTCGTAGTAAAAAAATTATGCAATTTTAGGGTGTAATCCATAAATTGGATGAAACTGGTCGTTTAACTCGTCGAGTACCGTATTTATAGACACAATTAAAGAACAATAGGTTGCGGTCACCGGTGACCGCTTGGTGTTTGACAGTTTAAGACTACGAAAAAACATTTAAGACGTCAACCAATCAGAGACGATCTCTTATTGAACGCGCTGACCGACCAATCAGCGTTCTTATTTCATAACAGCCAGCGTTTCGTTTCGCAATCTTACTATAGTAACGAGTATTTTCGCAAAAATCCTGACTTTGTCCAGTAAGATTTGATAATTTTTCGCCTATGTCTAATTATCCGCGTTTTCGCAAAACCCCTAGGATTTCCGCGAAGATTCGAAGTATCAAATTATCCTACGACATAGACACAATTAAAGAACAATAGGTCGCGGTCACCGGGGACCGCTCGGTGTTTGACAGATTAATGCTAAATTTTATTTCTTAAATGTCTTTGTTTAAAACAGAAGGTCAAGTTTCAATGACTTCTACGATTTCTTTAGAGGATAACTTGTTAAAGTCTATGATATTTTATTTTGTTTACAAATTATGTATGAAGATAGTAGCACTTACTGCACTTCTACAACATTCATGTGATTAGCCTCATAATTATATTCCGCATTCCATATATCCATATTAGAGGTCCATCAAGATATCTAATATTTTTTCCAGTACGAGCATTAGAAAAAGTTCGACAATCTGGCAACTATTCAGATGCACACGAACTAGGCCTAGGTGTCAAATCCGAAGGGGATTCACACGACACTGACAGTTCAGACGGGGAGGCGACCACGCGGCGCGTTAAAAAGCTTAAAATTAATGGAGTCATGTCTAGTAACTAAGAAGGTTGTGAGATGAATTCGTCTTAGCCAATGATGACAGTTTCCACAAATAAGATAATGTAAACCAAAATAAAATTACTTTTCCAATAAATGATATTACATATATTTTTGATACAGATGAAATGAAATAAGTAACTTTAATGTGTAGTGTTAAAGTCGAGATTTGTAGACATAGTTTAGCATGCATTTTGGCTAGCAGCTCTCTGTCGTCATTAAAGTAGCAACTCCGTGGCAATCCTACATAACCATCATGTATGCTAAACAATTTTTATTTGTCTCTGGTTATGTGTTTTGTTGTTACTATTACAGTAGTTAAATGTATACAGTCTAGTACTAAATTGAGATGTTTTAAACTTTTTGTATTGTATATAAATATTGTCACTGTACATACTAGGGAGTTAAATTTTGGATTAAATATCATTTCGCATTATGTATTTGGCACAGTATTTTGCGATAAAATAATAGTTCTTATGAATTCTATATTGCAGACAAACATTTACTTTTATGGTTAATTTTATTTAAATTCTGTACTGAATATTTCATTACACTGTAGCTACTACTTTTTTAAAACATATTGTTTATGGTTTTTACAATCATTGCTGAGAATGATTCATCTTCCACACGTGTAAGTACTTCGTAATAATAAGCTGTAAGTTTTTTTTACTTTACATTGAATTTTCTTATTGATCTGTTTATTAATTAATGTTAATGAAAGATTTACTTTTAAGTATGAAGCTATACATTTTAATAATTACGTTGTTGATTTGTGTTGAAATATTTCAATCCTGATGATAGGTTTTATTACTGGCGCCTTAGTAAAATAGTTTTCTTTTTTTAATGTAATTGATACTTTTTTGAATGATAATATTGCGAGATGCAATTCCATTTTAACGTAAATTTTGTTGTAGATATGCAATTTGTATTAATATGTAGGTTTGCGTAAACTTTGCAATCCAAGAGGCATGTTCCTAATCTTTGACCAAGTTTAACAACTCCGAAATAGATGTTGTAAAGGTGAAAATGGCGATAACAGTCTATTTTTTAAGGAATTAGTCTTCAGTACTTGTAATATTGTTATATCTTTTAATTCAGTGAAATGCGGGCATTTTGAGAAAGTTGTGTTTAGTTAAGTTTAATCTATACTTAATATTATAAAGCTGAAGAGTTTGCTTTTTTGTTTGAACGCGCTAATCTCCGAAAACTACTGGTCCGATTTGAATAATTTTTCTGTGTTGGATAGCCCATTTATCGAGGAAGCCTATAAATTACGCTACGATTAATAGGCGCCGAGCAGAGCGAGTGAAACCGTGCGGAAGTAGCTAGTTGAATTATATATATATACTTGAATTTGTAATTCTATTAAATTTGTGGTAGTTTTGATGTATTGTATCATCCAATTTACTAATGTTTTAGGTAATACCAGTGCGTTAGTTCCTCAAAAATAGGAAAAATATAGAATAATACAAAAGCGAATTACGAAAAATCCTCAGTTCATAATACTTATTAATTAAATATGCTCGGATTTACCAAATTGTACCCAAAAATGTTCAATTGATTCAAAGGAATGATTATAAGTACATTTTTTATCTTTATCTTAAATGATTATAAGATAATTCAATATGAAGTAATAGTTTTAAGTTTTAGTCTTCTTGAACAATAAAATCGAATATCACTGCACCAAATGTTGTACCTACATCGAAAAATGTAACACAGGCTTTTTTATACATCTTTGCCGTTTTCTCAATTAAATGAGAATTGCAATATTTTGTGTGTAGTGCATTATCGTTTACGATATTATTTTTATATTTTGTCATCGCAAATAATTTTTAGATATAACTAGTATTAAGTACCTACCTAGATAAGTTAATGTTAATAAGTTGTGTTTGTTCTAGAAGACTAAATCATATTTTTAACGATAATATACATAAATACTCTCGTTAAACTTTGTTTTTAATTATTTTAACCCCATGCTTAGGTACGAATGCATTCTCCTTTTTGGGAAGTCTGCTAATAATATTGAGTGTTAAATCACGCTCTTAGATTAGAAAACTGAAAAACGAAATGTTTTGTGAAGTTCCCCTAGTAGTTCATAGATGGTTCTAGGCGTTATTTGTTGTCTCGCTATGAAACCCCTTGTGGGCTTGTAACTGAAAAATTATGATTGTGTCTGAAAAGTTATAATTTATTGAAAAACTACATGAAATACGTGTGTACATTAGTCTATTTTTTTAAGGGAGAAAATCATCGAATATCTTCAACCGGCTGGGTGAGGCGGGAGGAAGGTATTGTCACTCTTACTGACTAAAAACCACCCTGTTCCTACTCCTGCCCTTCGAGCCGGAACCTTTTATCTAGCTTATTATCTAGCTACCCCCGTATCTACAATGTATACCACCTATTCCCTTAATGAAATAATTTGAAATAAAAATGGATGTTCTTTTAAAATTTAAAGATCTTGGGATCTTGCAATGTTTTTCTGATGCGATATCAGTACCGTAATGAAAAGAATCCAAATAAAATAAATGAGCGTCAATATTGTTGCAACAATATGATTTTTATTTGCTACCGTCGTCGTCGTATAAAAAATTAAATTCATAGAGCTCAGCTGTTCTATTTATTTTATTGACTGTGTACATACAGATTGCCGCGCTTGCACTGCAAACGTTGCGATTCTCTTGTTCATTTCATTCGTTCAGTCGGTCATTTCGTTTATTGTTTGGACATTCGAACGTATTTCGCCATTTTTGCGCTATGTCAGATATTTTCCCGCCAGTTTCGTTGATTTGTTTGTTCAGTCAGCTGTTTTCGATAGTTCGTTGATTTATTGCCCTAATTATTATGAAGCTCGCAATTTTCCTTGTTTTGTGGTTTGCTTGTCGGTAATTGATAAAAGAAATGCGTTTGGTTTTTGTCGAATATTGCACATAGTTATTTGGATGATTATTGGTATTTTATTAAAACTAAGTACTAAGTAGGTAGGTAGATAGTTACCTAATTGTGAGATTAATTTCAAAGTCAATATTAAAATCGGTAAAAAGCAGTGGAACACTTGAGTATGTAGTGCACTCTGAAAAATTACTGTACCTAGGTAGGTACTGTACTTTATTATGTGTTTTCATTTAGTGGGTAAAAGTACCTACCTAACTAGGTATCTATATTTGCTTAGGAGTGTGAATAAAATAAAAAGAAACAATTTAGTTAAGATATTTTAATTTATTTTATCTTCTGTAAGATCACACACCGAGATGTCAGCATCTGTTGAAAAAATAAAAAAGTGATTAGGTATTATCAAATAGCACATTTTTGTTTAAAACTATTGACTTTACTTGTAAATTTCATTTCAAATTGAGGCTAATCCTAATAGATTTTTCTGAATAACTCACGTTTTGTTCACAATCCGCAGCTTCAGTCAGTTGAGTCAAGACATATGCAGGGTCGTTTTTTCTTCTCATCCAATGCTGTAGCAGCATCTATTGGAATATGTAAATAAATTAGAATCTATATTTTGTAAACTACCGTAGGTATTGTATTTTTTGAGACACCTACATTTGATTCATTAAAACCCATTGTATCTCAAAACGAAGGTAGTTTTCACCAAGTCTTTACCTACATGTTTACCCGGGTATTATTTCACGACAATCCCGAACGTGAATTTTTATAACAACCTACAAACCTTATTCTAAAATAACGAATTGGACGAAAAAATAATTATGCAAATTGGTCGAGTAATTCCTGAGCTACCTCCTAAGTGATTTATATATGTTTTACTTAAGTGTATAGACTAGCTTTTTACCCGCAGCTTAGACCGGGTGAAGGGTAACCAGTAACTACATGTTTTGCATACGGTAGTTGACAGGTAGTTAAATTGAATACTTTTATTGAAATGTCAAAAACGATACTTTTGAATTTTGTATTGGATCGCTACTTATGACGTCATCATATTTCTGCGTCAAACAGCATATGTACTTATTTCCTTAAACATAAGGAAAAAAGAAAGGATTTTATGAAAAAATCCAAAAGTAGGTAATTGTCAAATCAATGGATGAGAGTATGATTATTTTTTAATTATTTATTGCGTTGAAAAGTTGAAACAATTTATTTTACACCTAGGAAACTAGCCAATAAATGAGTTAGACATAAGGCTTCCATACCTTGTATTGACTCAAAGAATCGTCCATGATGTCCAAATTGTCGCTCAAACGTTGTGTAGGCCACGTGTTCAGTTCACTATTTTCATTTCCTCTTTATCTTAGGAAAAATGATGTCATGGATCTGGAATGACACGAAAATAAATTAAAATAAATACAATTAAAATTGCAATTTATTAGTAAACGGTAAAGTAACAAAGTTTGAGATGCACTTTTTAGCGCGCATTTATTGTTAACTCACGTTCGGGATACGAGATTTACAGGAAATGTAGGTATCACTGGCTCGGTGCATATAACGAGCATTAATTTTCTTCATCCCTATAAAGGAGGTCATACACGCTAGGTTTTGCATGATGGTTTTAGCCGTGCATGCATAACCGACAGGCAACCTCTAGCGTGTACCTATGTGATTGAACTGTACAGTTATCGGTGCATCGGTACTCTGTTATATTTGTCGGTTTAGCATGCAAAGTTATAACCATCATACAAACCCTAGCTTGTATGGCTTATATCCTTAAGGAATATTGTATTTGTACTTACTTATTATTATCCTGTTTGATTTTAGTTATCTACGGTAGGTTAGTTCTCCGGTAGGTATCTACTAGGCCCCTGGTTCTTTACAGGATCACAAAGATGGTTGACTGTTGTAGCAATGAATTCTAGTTACAAAATGGCAGTTAACGAGGCGGTGGCCACTAATATACCTAAGCAAAAATCATGACAAACCGAAATTATTAAAATTATGTGGTTTCTGTCGGTAGATGAAAATATTATACTTCGTTTACCGTCGGAATCTTTTATAGTTCGCTTTGTCATGTTCTATCGAATTAAAACTGACTAATAGTTAAAAATACGGCTTTAATAAATCGTTTAAGGTTGTGCACAGCAATGTTTCTTATTGGAGTTTTATCATTTTATGGAATTAGGAATAATATCAATTACGTGTTTGAGTTTGTGTGCGTTAAGCCGCGTTATAAAGCTAGTTACAAAATGGCGATGTGTAATTCGCACTCACCGATCCGTAATTTACAGAAAAATGAAATACCTATAATTTTTTATTGATTCGGGCTCAGAATCGATAGTCGAGTTACCTCATAGAAAATGACGCGGCTTTAAAACAACACCTTGTATATTGCCTGATGTGTTTTATTTCTACGTAAACCATAAAGGTGTATATGTCGTAGGATAATTTGATACTTCGAATCTTCGCGGAAATCCTAGGGGTTTTGCGAAAACGCGGATAATTAGACATAGGCGAAAAGTTATCAAATCTTACTGGACAAAGTCAGGATTTTTGCGAAAATACTCGTTACTATAGTAAGATTGCGAAACGAAGCGCTGGCTGTTATGAAATAAGAACGCTGATTGGTCAGTCAGCGCGTTCAATAAGAGATCGTCTCTGATTGGTTGACGTCTTAAATGTTTTTTCGTCGTCTTAAACGACCAGTTTCATCCAATTTATGGATTACTCCCTAAAATTGGATCATTTTTTTTTTACTACGACTGACATCTTCTATTGTCGTTAGAAAACAACATACATACTAAAATTTTCAATAAAAGGTTTATAAAAATCAATTTACCTATTCAAAACCATCATAACTCTTTGATACAATACTTGAAGTTAATCATCGGCAAATTAGGAACCAATTAGAAGTCAGCCAGCAAAATTGTAGCCAATCAGTGTTGAGCACATCAAATCTTACTATAGTAACGAGTATTTTCGCAAAAATCCTGACTTTGTCCAGTAAGATTTGATAATTTTTCGCCTATGTCTAATTATCCGCGTTTTCGCAAAACCCCTAGGATTTCCGCGAAGATTCGAAGTATCAAATTATCCTACGACATATACACACCGAAGCCGGCCTGCCAGGCCAGCACGGACACGGCGGGTAAGGCCGGCTGCCTTTATTGTTTGTACCATACGGCTTGGGTGTGTAAACATCTTAATGTTGGTGGACTCATTGTACTCATTCTAGGCTTTTTATAAAAAGGAAACAATAAAAATACGAAAGTAAAGGTAAATGTTTATTCGAATATTGGTAACTCTGATGGTTCTTGCAACCAACCGTTGGTGTTGTGACCGTACCGGTACAGATATTGATCATAACACGTGCTGCTACCATGTGGACAGTGGCGCAGGCACCATTTCTCTTCATCCCGACATGACCTGTAAATTAAAATATATTGAATAAAATTATAAAACCACTTGCACGATAGCTACCTAGTTATTTAAGGACAATAAGCCTAAGTAAAAATTAATTGGAGGCAAACGAGCAGACGGATCACCTGATGGTAAGCGATCAGCGCCACCCATCGACACTCGCAACACCAGAGGAGTCACAGGTGCGTTGCCGGCCTTTTAAAAAGGAATACGCTCTTTTCTTGAAGGCTTGAAGGTCGTATCGGTTCGGAAATACCACCGACGACAGATCATTCCACAGCTTTTCTGTGCGAGGCAGAAAGCATCATGAGAACCGCACAGTTGTGGCCTGCCAACCATCTATATGGTGGGGATGCATATGCGCGTCGTGACGGTTGATGGTGAAAAGATGCGGCAGGTATCAGGTCAAACAATTCCTCAGAGCACTCCCCGTGGTATAAGCAATAGAAAATGCACAACGAGGCTATTACTATTCGGCCATTTTAATAATTACTATGCAGATATGCATCTGCACACAATGGATTGAACTTTGTACTTACAAAAAAAGTTACAATAGTAGTTTTCATTTACACATTAGGAACATTAGGATTATAGTATTTATGCAAAGTTATCAGTTGATTCCGATACAAATGTTCGATGTTTAATTACCTTTCAAATGAATTCTTCGAGTTGTAGGTAGTCCGAAACTTGGTTTCGCTGAAAACCTTCATTTCGGTCACAAACTGCAGCTTCAATCTGTTGAGATACGTCATGAGCTGGGCTTGTCCCACCACTTCAACCATTGCAGCTGAAAACAAAAATAAAAATCAAATGATTCATCCATTCTAATAATTACTGTGCAGATGAGCAAGTGCACACACTGGATTGAACTTTGTACCCACAGAAAAAATACAATAACTACATACGAGGGTATGTCTTTGTCGCTAATAACACTACAAGCTATTATCACAGATAACACTACACGTAGGAAACCACAATATACATAATTGCAGATGGGTACTACGAGTAAGTACCCACCTAAACATTTACTTCTTTCCAAACTTTGCATAACATACTAGGTACAGTGGCTAGCAGGTCAACCTATCCATTTCTGTCAAATTCTCTATTACATCTTTAACTGTATTGTATTGACATAGCGTCGAAACTCCAGTGAATAAATTTAAGTAGATTGATCTGCTGGCGACCGTACATGTGCAAGATTTGGAAAAAGGAACAGAGGTAGTTTAAAAATTCGGTGGGTGGACGATATCGATATCAAAAATCGCTAGAAGCCGATAGGCGTGGGATGCAAATCAAGAAGTATGGCGGAAAATAAGACGGGTCTGTACCCAGCTGAGGGTAAATCGGGGCTGTTAAGAATGTTGATGATCCATAAATCAAATACGGGAGATAATCACTGTATAGAATAGAATCGCTTCCTATATTCCTACGTACCTGTATTATTACGCTTCGTTCTTGCAGTCTATGGTGTATCTTCGAAATTTCCCCGGTACTAGGCTAAGCTCCATAAGAAGCTTATTTATTATGCAGTCGCTATGAAGTCCAGATACAGAATGCCAGCTAACATGACGGTGCCCACGAATTTATACGATTAGAGTGAGTGAACTTGACAGAGTGAACAACTTATAATAATTTCTGGTTTTTGTCGGTAGATGATTTTTTTTAATACCTGAACTAATAATGTAATATGAAAACGAGAAAATTTCCATAATTTATAATTGTAGGTGATTCATTTTCCAAATACCCTAACTAAAATTATATCAATTTAAAAATTATTACTCTAAACAAATTAGTTAATCATATTGAATAATATTCTCAACAAATAATAATTTATACAAGACATGACATCCTTGTGGCAATTACCTTTATTCCCACATAATATTACATAATATATGGATTGAAATTTTATTTGTAGGTTAAATAAATTAAATAATGATAACTAATCGTAAATAAAAAATTTAATAATGATAACTAATCGTTAATAAGCTTAACTATGACTTGTAGTGCAAATCTGCATGAAAATAGTAGACCATCCTTATGAGAGACGGTAATAATAAATTGTTATGAGAAGTTTAAAGAACTAATCGTGTGAGCGTCGTGGTGGCGCGGAGGTCTAAGACTTGCTTCTCATGCATGAGGTTTGAAACCTACCAATGGCAAGTACCAATGTGACTATTCCGA